CTCTTTCCCAGTTTGCAGACTAACAGCACCCTGAACCTTGGCATAGGCTCCCTCACCAAGCAGCTCGGTCGTCAGTTTATACAAATCTGGCAGAGAAATCCAGCACAAAGCAATCAGTAAAGAGAAGCATTTCAGCGAACAGCAAAGAGACAGGCTACTCATTTGATGAACATTTCTGATATGATAGGAGCCGAGAGAACTCTCTTGGTAATAAACTGGGGGAGTTGGATTTATGCAGCATTTTCAGTCAGATGCATCAGGTTTAATTATGCTTCATTTTTCATCTCTTGTGCTCGCCACCCAAACAAAGTTAAAATGAATTTCATCGTAGGAGTGAAATTACAATCCTGCCCCTCTTGGAAACATTTTCTAACTCAATGACTGGGGAATGTTGTCTACTTTTCATATATTCCCATTTTCTTACCTATTGGGGAATTTAAATATTTAGCGCTGTTGGTATATTTTTCCTGAAGTGGAACATATTTAATCACTGCTTTATCAAAAAATGCTTTAGCTTAAGAAATCTGCAGTAACTCCAAGTTCCTCACAAATACCTTACATAACACTGTAATTTTGAAGTTTAAACTTCAGTAATTGAAACTGAGTTTCCTATCAGTGCAACTTCCATAAAAGATGTTATTGATTAGTTCAACTGCATTGAGCTAATCAGTAACATCGATAACATGAGTTGGGATTTTACGTACACATGACTTAACATCATTTACATGCATTCATTCTCAAGGAAGAAACATTTTAAAGGGGTGGTACCTTGTCTACTCCAAAGCAAAATAAAAAGTTTATAATGAAAATGGAAGTAGAGACATCACCACGATAATTAAGGAATGGAATGTAAACTGGGGGAAACAGGTAGAGACACGGGATGAAATAACATGAATTTTCTTTTTGCTGACCATCAGCAACTAAGGTTAAGTTTAGAAAACAGACGGGTGCTAAGGAATAAAGACTGTACGTGTTAAAATTATGATACACTGCAAACTGACACCAACCTTCAAACTTCCCAGGGAGATGGTCTGTGGCTCTGGTTCTCTTTTTCTTTTTCCTTTTGCCATTGTCTGGTATGGGGAAAGGCTGACTGATGACCATCTCTGTGTGGCAGAACATAAAGGTGGTTTTAATGTACAATCAAACCAACTGTATGTCAGAAGGCAGTGAACAGAGCCTTAAACCATCCACAACTGTCACTGCTTTTCTTCATCATAAGCAGACCAGCTCTCACACAAAAATCAGAAGAAACCTAAAAAGGCAATCGGGAAGCCGATTAGGCGGGGAGTTGATAAAACAGAAAAATAACGTAAAAACAGAAACACAAGTACGCAACCATCATAAAGCTACGTTGAACGTTGCTCTGCCTCATGGGTGGTCAACCTGGGGCGCAGGTGCCACAAGTGACATGAGCAGCTTCTGCGTGGCACGTAGCAGATGTGGAGAGGGAGCAGGGAGCACAACAGCAGATAGGGCAGGAAGCAAAAAGCAAAGCAGATAGGACTGAGGAAAAGGACTGGAGTGATAGTCGGGGAGGATGCGTGTTAACTGGTGGTATGTCTGCCAAAAAGGTTAGCCTCCACTGCTAATACCATACCAATCGGCACATGTGTGACATGCTCGGTGGTTATCCTAACCCCGTAAATATTCAGTCCTCATGTGATTTAAACTATGCTCTTGACTTCCAGCAAAGGAACTCGTTGCCACAAGATAATAAATACTATACTTCCTTACAACTTTATTTCACATCCTTTTATTTTGGGGAGAAAGGAGCTATAAAGCCTCTGGATCTGCACCCCCTACCATTCTCTATTTCACATTCTTCTCCCTCTGAACAGAACTATTTAATTTTTTAATACTATTTCATACCTCTTGTACCATCCACACTGGCCATGATAATTAGATCAGAGCTCAAACCATTAGCACGGTTTTGACAAAACCCTGTCAACCATTTTCCGGAACATTTGTCGGTAGGATTCCTGAACAGACCAGTATACTTAAAGAAAAAAAAAAGGAAATCTGTTACTGTGCTAAAAAAAACAATGGAAAAATCTCCTTGGAAGGCATAATCTTGGACATACTGTCAGAAGAAGCAGAGCAGAGGTTAAAAAGGGAAAAACAAATGTTCACAGGATGCCTTTAAATTATTTATTTAAAAAAAAATAGTAGTTCATCTTTTCATTATGCCTTTAAAAAACTTAAGGGTTTTTTTTCCCCTCTCTCTCTCTATAATAATTCTACGGGTCTTTTTTTTTAGTACAGGAGAAACTATGAAGTAAATGACAAGCTACACAAAGTGCTGTCAACGTACAAGAAAACGAAACAGAAAAAAGCATTTTGCCTTGCCAACATCTTTCAGTGATGATAATTATGGGTGTCACTTATAACTGCTGCATGTTATGTATAAAATTTTCAGACAAATGTTATTTTGAGATAAGTGTCTTATTAATGCTGGCTTACTGAAATACTTCATGGAGCTTTCAAAGCCCAAACCATCTTCAGGTCTATAGTTAAAAGCCTCATCTTCACACCTGTAGAAGGATTT